CGGGTTTCGCATTTTTGCTTATTGACTTTAAATAGTCAAGTTCTGCCTGCAATTTTTGGGCCGTTGTCCACGCGGGTGGTGTTGCAGTTGAGAATAAAAGCCACTTTAAATGTGCTATTCTCTTATTAATTTTATTGTGCACACCTCCGCGTTTACCCATCACTCGCGCACTCTACTCACTCAGTATTTTTATTGTGTTGATGTCCATGCCAAGCTCCGTCTTCCGAATTTTAAAGTTGTCCTCCTGCCGTTATTATGGTCGTTTTTATGGTATATCAGCTCCTCTGTCCTTGGTCCTCCAGGACCACTATCACGGTCCTATGTAGGTCCTGTCATGGTCGCCATGTAATAACATACGTACTTTTTATTATGAGTTTTTATTAATTATTTATTAACTTTTATGACACTCAATCTTAAAACTTGAACTTATACTGATTTCTTACATTTTACTTAAAATGAACTTAGCTAAGGCCTCGTAGCTGCGCTGCCAGAGACGCCGGCAGCGGAGCGGCCGCATTATGTATTTTACTTATGTATTTGTACTCAGCGCTGTTGGCAGCGAGAGCGCGAGGGAGAATGTTATGTGCACTTGAGGTGGCTGACACTAGTTGCACTGACGCTGCACTTATGTCGCCCAATGCATGTGCGATCATATTACATCGCGTCCGAATTATGCTTGGCTTTTTGAATTAATTTATTCACTGCAATAAAGTGTTACAGTGTATACTCCTTATGTATGCACACTACAATACATGTTCTACTACATACATATGTACATACGTGTAAACACATGTGCACTGAATATCCAAGGTCAACTTCGCAAATCATACTTTCAGAAGTACAAGTATTGCAGGCACCGCAGCTGAATTGATCGTGCAGAGCGAACACTCAAAAACACCGAGTAAAAAAATTGCCGAGTGCGAGAAAACCCAATACTCAATTGATCACAAAAATTTGGTGGTGGTTTTTACTCTTACAAGTTTCTTTGCAATCACCAACCGCATAAGTACAAAAATGAGTGAAGAGGATAACGAAAAGTCTTGTTGTGATTGCATTGATCTAAGTATAAGAAGGCCATGAGTATAATCAACACCGCATCATTTTTTTATGCGGTGTTTTGTATGATCGTGAGTGAAATATTCTAAGTAGGTATGCAGTGTACTTATTGTTGCGGTGCACCGCTGCAGTTCTCTGATTTGAGTATCTTTCCACTGCCACATTTTTACTTTTTTGTTAAAGTTTATTATTTATAGCGGACTGTATAACTATAGGTGGTATCACTAATATGATCCGGCTTGAAGGACTACTTATGTGTTGTATGTTTATTGGTACATCGTTTAAGTTTTTAAGTTTTTTAAGCAACGACTTATGCGCACATTTATTTTGTTCTTCCCAACTTCTTCTTCTCGATCAGAGTGACCAGAAGGGCCAAACTCAAAATACTAATCAATAACGATAAATTTCTTAATACTAGTTTTCGCAGCGACACGTGGTTTAGATCAAAAGTGGTCTTCATACCCAAAGCGGGTAAAGCCACGCATACTACCCCGAAAGACTTCAGACCTATCAGTATTTCGTCTTTTCTCCTAAAAACGCTCGAGAGACTACTAGGTCTCTACCTAAGAAGCAGGATCCCGCTTTCTGACCTCGCACGCTCACAGCATGCCTACTGCAAAGGCAGATCAACAGAAACGGCACTCCATGGCGTTATCTCGAATATTGAGAGATCTCTCAATATCAAACACTTCACAATCACTGCTTTCCTAGACATAGAAGGCGCTTTTAATAACGTGTCCCCAAACGCTATCATGAACTCACTTACGGACCTGGGAATAGACAACTCCATCGCAGAATTGATAAGACAGCTACTCACCAAGTGGTTTATTAAGGCTAAGCTGGGGTCGTCCACTATATCCAGATACGTAAGTTGCGGAACACCTCAGGGCGGCGTTCTCTCACCATTCCTTTGGAACGTGGCGGTCAACACACTTCTCCGATCCTTGGAGGGAATAGGGGGATGCCAAGCTGTAGCCTACGCAGATGACGTGATCATCTCCTTTTCGGGTAAATTCCCCCAAACACTCTGCGAACGTATGTCTGATGCATTAAGCACACTGTCAACTTGGGCAACGTCAAGTGGCCTAAGTGTAAACTAGTCCTAGCAATACAGAGCTAGTCCTATTCACCAGGAAATACAAAATTCCACAACTTCGTCCCCCACTAGTAAATGGGGTATCATTATCATTCAGCAGCTCAGCCAAATATCTAGGTCTAATACTGGATAGGAAGCGAGTCTGGAGGCTGAATATTGAAGACCGAGTGAGGAAGAGCACAGTCGCGCTCTATACCTGTCGGAAATCCATTGCCCCATTTCAGTGGGCATGGCACCATATGTAGTCCACTGGCTTTATACCACGATAATTAGACCCATACTGTTGTATGGGGTCTCAATTTGGTGGCCATCACTGTCCAAAAATTCATCTCTCCAGAGACTAAATAAGGTTCAACGACAGGCTGAACTAACCATTTCAGCTGCCTTACGCACTACTCCAACCGACGCTCTAGATGCGATCCTAGGAATACTCCCACTAAATCTCATGGCAAAGATGAATGCCATGCTGGTGGCTCTTCGCATGAGAGAAACCAATCAATGGTCAGAGGAACACTTTGGCCATGCCAAAATTGTGAGAGGAAACAACATCATCCCCTCAGTCACTGACTACTGCACCCCCAAGGAGTACCTCCATACTCCTTTTCACACCATCATTCCCTCAAGGGAAGATTGGAATTATGGCCAACTGGATCCCAGCAACTCCATAAAAATATACACAGACGGTTCTAAGCTAGACAGACAATCGCCTAGGCGGTGGCGTCTTCTGCGAAGAACTAGGTATCAAAAAATCGTTCAGGCTTCAGGACCACTGTAGTGTGTTCCAGGCAGAAATCCTAGCCATAAAGGAAGCTCTTACACTGCAATTCTCAGCAGCAAACAACAGAGAAATCTGTATATACTCGGATAGCCAAGCGGCAATAAAATCCCTAAACTCCATCACATCGAACTCGATTTCAGTGCAGAAATGTCGCAAATCTCTTCACGAGATAGCTGCACAGTTCTCTGTTAACCTCATTTGTGTTTCAGGACATAGTGACATTGAGGGAAATTCCACAGCAGATGAGCTGGCAAGACATGGTACCACTGTCTCTCTCCTTCCGGACAAGGAGAGTGTCGGTATACCAATGGCCAGCTGTAGACTATCAGTTAGGAACCACTTTGAATCTCTGGCAGATCAAATGTGGATCTACAGTTCAGACTCCAGAATTACGCGTCTAACGTGGCCAATTCGCAACAAAAAACGCTCCTCAGAACTCCGCAATTTAAGCAGAATCCAATGCTCAACCACAATAAGAGCGTCACTTGTAAAGACGTTGAAGAGGAGGAAACTGATACCCACCTCTTCTGCGACTGTCCAACCCTATTAAGGACGAGACAGCGTTTTCTAGGGGCTAGTACTTTCCCGGACTAATCGGAACTATCTGAAAAGAAACCGAGGGACATTTTCAAATTCATCCAGGCATCTGGATGGATGTAATATAAGCGAAGACACACAGAAGGAGGCGTGGCAGACCCCACAAAGTATATATATTCTTGATCAGGGTGACAAGACTAGTCGATATAACCATGTCCGTCCGTCCGTCCGTCTGTCTGTATGAGCGCAAGGATCTCAGAAGGTACAAGAGCTAGAATAACCAAACTCGGTATCCAGATTCCCATAAGCCCTAGGCAGGTCAAGTTTATTTTTTTTATTCTGATACACCCCCCCACTCCCCCGCAATTCGTGTTTTTTTTCTATAACTCCCAATTTAGTAACTACATCCCGTTAGTGATTATGTGTCTGTCTGCCAAGTTTAATCATGATAGGTCAATTCTGAAGAAAGTAATAGCCATAAATAAAATCGCTGCCCATGCTCTGCTTGTAGCGCTGCCCGCAGCTGTTGTTGTTGTTGCTGCTGGGGTTCAACTTTGTGCTGCATACATACACGCATATAAACACGCCGAGACACGATTCTGATGTAAATGTATGCTGTTGAAACTGTACAAGAACATGTATTTAATTAAATTAAATAATTTAATTAAATTAAATAATTTAATTAAATTAAATAATTTAATTAATTAATTTTTTTCATTTTTTCCTTTTTGGTGGGAGGTACAGGGTATTTAAGAATTGAGCTTGCTCGACTTTAGCATTATTTTCTTGTTTAACTACTTTCATAGATCTCCTGATGAAAAAATTGTGTGTTTTTGGACTGCCGTAAAAGAAGTTTCTAAAATTTTTTAGACTTAGCTTACTTTTTACCTCGTTTCTACCATTTTGATTCAACATGAACCGCAAAAAACACCTAATTTTTAGTTCAGTGCAATAATATTGCAATTACAGCCATTGACTTGCTTTTATTTTTAAGCTTAATTATGATATCCTTTTTCGTAGCTGTGAAATTATATCTCCGACTTATTCTTATCTTTATACCACTATTAAGAGAAAACATTTTTTCCAACCCAAAAACGTAATTACCTAACAAATCAGAGCACACAGCAAATATTTCTGTCAGAATACGCATAAAAACGAAATCACAATGAAGTACCTTTAACCAATTATCGTCCATAGTAGAAAAACCCATATAACTTGCCCAGAAATTGAGGACAGGAGTTTTTAGTGAAAAGTGGAATGTCGTTTCTATTATTTTGTTCTGTACTGTAACTCAGTGGTGTAAGTTAGTCTGGATACAGGGTATTTTGCTGGCGACTTTGACGTTCGACTTTAGCGTTCTCTCTTGTTACATTTGTAATGGGTTAAGAATTTAAAGCAGTTTGAAGTTTGGTATAGCAACTAGTTCAAATAAGATGTGAGCCACTGTAAAAGCAATCAATGTTACTGAAATTTAAGTTTCAAAGGTTTTAATATTGAAGAAATTAAACCTAATACAAGGAAAACTATAGACCATTTGTTTTTTAATCTATATAATTGGTGCAATTACACATATTTGCTTAAAATAAAATAGCAGAAATGGGCAGTTTGTTTGAACCACTTCAACATAAGCCCAACAACGTGCGTAGAAACGCAAAACCAAATGAATCCTCCACATCGAAGCTGACATTCCGGTTCAATCAATATCATCTTGCTCATCATCGTCAAGCTCTAATTTAAAATCACCATCGGTGGTATACTGACCACGTTGTCCAAAACTAAGGGACTCGTTAGTCGTCTCTGGGTACGAATTGAACACGTGGTTTTCATCATCGATGTCATAGATATGGCTGATATTGCCATTTCCGTAAGCTGGTAAGGTATGATCAAATTTTGTAAATAATTCCCTTATGTAATATTCACTAATACAATACCGTCTACATATTTAGCCAGATTTGGTGGAACCCAGGCCTTAACTCTCTCAATGTTCTCCAACGAGGATTCGCCTTTTTCCAGTCCTACAAAGTACAGTGATTTTTTAGTGAGTTATATTCATAAGAAAAATTAATATACTAACCTAATAGCAACCCCATTCGTTTTAAGACCTCGATGTCATCATGCATTTCAAATGTATTATTAAATTTGAAAATATATTCGGATCTGTAGTAAATAAGAAACAAGAAATTGATATACAACTTTAGTGAAAGTAAATTATTTTATATAAGAATCAGAATGGTAAGACTTACTTGTCGTTGGTAACGCTACAATTAATTTTAGTGGATTTGTGAGTATTAACTATTATGAACGGTAATTGTATGGATGAATTTGGTGATGGTACCAATCCTTGGCTCTCTACTTTCTTGTTCCGCTCGACCAGTCCCTTAAATGCCACATGTTGCATTATCATTTCACGCAGCATGTCGTGTTTTTGTTTTATGCGTTCCCGACGTTTCTGATTCTCCTCCTCAAGTGCCAGAAGTTGCTGCATATAATGAAAAATATTACCGAGTAGAAAGTAGAAGTCGCGCGATATGTTTACCCTCAAGGAAATACATACATACATAAGTAGATATATATGTTCATTTTGCTTGTATTTTCTAGTAACAGTAAATTTTTTTAGGGTATGCCCACTTTGTATACCCTGTTTTGTGCAATGTATGTAACAGGCAGAAGGAGGCATCTCGGACCTCATAAGGTATCTAAGGTATATATAAAAAGAGAGAACGATACAGTCGAGCAGGCCCGGCTGAAAAATACCCTGTACCCACTCCCACAAAGAAAAGAATTAAAAAAGTTTTTTGTAAATAAATTTAAGAAATTAAAAATTCAATTAAATTAAATTTAAAAAAAGTAGTAGAAAAGCTAAAGTCGGGTGTCCCGATTTTAAAATACTCTGTACATATGTGTAGAACAAATATATAACTTAAATAAGAGAGAACAGTCGAGCAAGCCGGACAGTAAAATACCCTGTACTCTCTCTCCCACAAAAATAGAAAAACATTAAAAATTACCTTAAAAGAAATTCAATACATACCTCATGGAAAGAAGTATACACTGCGCGACAACCGATTAGCATTCTCTATGCTTCTTCGTTTTGAAGCTTAATATCAGCCAATCTTATAAAGCTACTAAAATTAACTTTCTAGCTAATAAAACTTTATTAAATTATATCTTATTTATAATGTTCAGGTCGAGCGAATTGGCGGCCATGTCAGTAAAGGCAGGTTTTAACGCTCAATCCAAGATTTTACGGCTCTTGCAGTGTGTATGGGCGTTATCGTGCTGGAACTTCCATTCCAAGGATCCAAAAATATCATTGATTGCTTTTTTCAATACCCCAGTGTATGCTGTGGCATTCATACGACTTGTAAGAAATGGCAGTTTTATGGTCCCATAGTACGTAACTGCTCCCCATACCATCACACCAGTGGTTTTAGTTGCAATAAAACCAATCCAGGACTTTCCAGCATATCCAAATGCAGCCCAAATCATTAATGATACGCCACTGAGTTTCCGCTTATGACAGGTTTGCCGTGGTGGCCTGAAATTGCTGCAATATTTATGGCAACCATCTGGGTCGTCTAAATTAAGTTTTTTCGCGTCGGAAAGAATAATATTGCGAAATTTATTTGTCCAAAATTTGTGCTTTTCGGAAAATGCTAAACGAGCCCGACGGAAGTGGAAGTAGCTTAGGTACTGGCTCTCGGGAAGTATATTTAGCGTTAATATTTTCAACCAGAATTTGGTGGACTCGTCTTCCAGTAACATTGAGATCTAATGACCCCTTGTAAACCCCCTTGTAACGAGATACATGACATGTCCTTTTGAACAGCAAGACGCCTAATTCCCGTTTACAACGTTCGTCAATGTTGGTGGGTCTTCCGTAGCGTTGGATCTCACCATAAGAATCAGGTTTCTTAAGAATATTATTTATTGTGTTTCGGTGTCGATTGACTCTGGCAGCTATTTTGTACCTTTTCCTCTTAAATGCATTCCACATGGCATTTTAAGTAAAATCCACATTTCGTATGAACATTCAACGGCAACTCCTAATTATGAGATTTGTTCTCCAGTTTTATCTCTGTCAGCTTCCCCTAATATGGTTCCCCTCTGCCTTCTTCAATTGAAGTTTCATCGACGCTGGTTAACATTCCGCCGGCGAACAATGAAAAATCAGTCCTGCAGTACTCAATGCTTTAAAAAGGTCCGCACCCGTTTCAGACTTAATACCTAAAGTGGCTGAGGTTGCAGCTTCTGCTGCCAATCCTCCTACTCTTAATGTCGTGGCCCCTTGGAAACAAGTGTTTGTATCGAGGTTATCCGCTGATATGAATTGCGAATCCATTAAAACTTATATCGCCAGCAAAACTTCTGCTAGTGTTTCAATTTCTAAATTTAATTTTTCCGAACCTCGCGAAAAAGCGTCGTTCAAAACTAGCGTTTCCGTTGAACTGTTTCCGATCATTTGTGACAATAAATTTTGGCATCCTCAGATTGTTCATGAGTTCTAACAAAGAACAAGAGAGAACGCTACAGTAGAGCAAGCCCGACAGTAAAATAGCCTGTACTCTCCACAAAAAAGGAAAATAAAAAAAACAACTAAGTTATTAAAAATAATTTAATTAATTAATTAAATTAATAAAGAAAATTTATTTAATACATACACAGAAGACATGTTTATGTACAGTTTTAACAGCATATATTTACATCACGTGCCTGTGCGTGTTTATATGCGTGTATGTATAAGATACGGACATCGCTACAGCGCATGGGTAGCGATTTTATTTATGGCTATAACTTTCTTCAGAATTGACCTATCATGATGAAACTTGGCATACAGATACATAATCACTAACGGGATGTAGTTACCAAATTTTAGTTCGAAATCCTAAGAACTACGGGTTAGAAGGATCTCAGAAGGTACAAGAGCTAGAATTACCAAACTTGGTATCCAGGTTCCCCTGAGCCCTAGGCAGGTCAAGATTGTTTTTTTTTATAACTTCCGTAATTCTTGGAATTTTGAAATCAATTTTAGTTACATCCCGTTAGTGCTTATGTGTCCGTATGCCAAGTTTCATTATGATAGGTCAATTCTGAAGAAAGTTATAGCCATAAATAAAATCGCTGCCCATACTCTGCTTGCAGCGCTGCCCGCAGCTGTTGTTGTTGCTGCTGGGGTTCAACTTTGTGCTGCATACAAACACGCATATAAACACGCCGAGACACGATTCTGATGTAAATGTATGCTGTTGAAACTGTACATGAACATGTCTTTAATTTAATTAAATAATTTAATTAATATAATTTTTTTTAGTTATTTAAAAAAAAAATGTTTAATTTTTTCCTTTTTGGTGGGAGGTACAGGGCAATTCTTGTTTTTCCTAACTCCGGTAATTCTTGGAATTTTGAATTTGGCATATACATCTAGTTCATAGTTATTTGTCCGTATGCCAAGTGCCATCATAATAGGTCAATTATGAAGAAAGTTATAGCCATAAATAAATCGCTGCTCATTCGCTGCCTGCAGCACTGCCGGCAGCGCTGCCCGCAGCTGTTGTTGTTGTTGCTGCTTTGGTTCAACTTTATGCTGCATACATACACGCATAGGCACGTGATGTAAATGTAAACTGAACATAAACATGTGTTCTAATTTAATTTAATTAATTAATTCAATTTTTTTTAATAATTTTTTTTCTTTTTTGTGGAGAGTACAGGCAATATCCCGACAGTAAAATAATACTAAAATATTACAAGACGAATGAACATACATACATACATAGATGTGTACATGTAAATAGATGTGTACATATGTATGTGTGTACATTCACACATTAGTGTCTCACATTTTGCTTTGGCTATTTCAATCGTTTGCACGCAACTACACGAACAGCTGCTTGGATGTGTGTGTGTGTGTGTGTGTGTGTATGTATACTTAGTTGCCCCCATTGATATTTTGTATTGTTTGTTCCGCCTGCATTTGTAGAATGCATATTTTGAAAATCCTTGAACGCAAAGTTATAGATTTAGTTATGTAGATTACAGTCCCCAAATTTGAAATCGATCGGAAAAAATTTATAACACATATCACACTAATGTGTGAATGTACAGACATACATATGTACACATCTATGTACACGTACACATCTACAAGGTGCAATTCAAAAGTTCCAGGACTTTTATTAAAAAACGAAAACTATTTTTTTTTTTTGAAAAATTTATTGGTCGCCTTCAAAATAGTCTCCTTCCGCCTGAATACAACGTTTTGCACGTTCAAGAAGGTGATCGAACGACTTTTTTAGGTCATTTGTCGGTATAGCGTTGAGGATGGCGTTAGTGATTATGTATCTGTATGCCAAGTTTCATCATGATAGGTCAATTCTGAAGAAAGTTATAGCCATAAATAAAATCGCTGCCCATACTCTGCTTGCAGCGCTGCCCGCAGCTGTTGTTGTTGCTGCTGGGGTTCAACTTTGTGCTGCATACAAACACGCATATAAACACGCCGAGACACGATTCTGATGTAAATGTATGCTGTTGAAACTGTACATGAACATGTCTTTAATTTAATTAAATAATTTAATTAATATAATTTTTTTTAGTTATTTAAAAAAAAAATGTTTAATTTTTTCCTTTTTGGTGGGAGGTACAGGGCAATTCTTGTTTTTCCTAACTCCGGTAATTCTTGGAATTTTGAATTTGGCATATACATCTAGTTCATAGTTATTTGTCCGTATGCCAAGTGCCATCATAATAGGTCAATTATGAAGAAAGTTATAGCCATAAATAAATCGCTGCTCATTCGCTGCCTGCAGCACTGCCGGCAGCGCTGCCCGCAGCTGTTGTTGTTGTTGCTGCTTTGGTTCAACTTTATGCTGCATACATACACGCATAGGCACGTGATGTAAATGTAAACTGAACATAAACATGTGTTCTAATTTAATTTAATTAATTAATTCAATTTTTTTTAATAATTTTTTTTCTTTTTTGTGGAGAGTACAGGCAATATCCCGACAGTAAAATAATACTAAAATATTACAAGACGAATGAACATACATACATACATAGATGTGTACATGTAAATAGATGTGTACATATGTATGTGTGTACATTCACACATTAGTGTCTCACATTTTGCTTTGGCTATTTCAATCGTTTGCACGCAACTACACGAACAGCTGCTTGGATGTGTGTGTGTGTGTGTGTGTGTGTATGTATACTTAGTTGCCCCCATTGATATTTTGTATTGTTTGTTCCGCCTGCATTTGTAGAATGCATATTTTGAAAATCCTTGAACGCAAAGTTATAGATTTAGTTATGTAGATTACAGTCCCCAAATTTGAAATCGATCGGAAAAAATTTATAACACATATCACACTAATGTGTGAATGTACAGACATACATATGTACACATCTATGTACACGTACACATCTACAAGGTGCAATTCAAAAGTTCCAGGACTTTTATTAAAAAACGAAAACTAT